AAAATTTTAGAATCAACAAATTCGATACCCTGGTACGGTGTGTAAATTATAAGTTATAATAATTTATTAACTATGTTAAAAATTTTGTAAACATTAATATATGACTTACTTTATTAAAGTAATTCCAAATTTGCTCTTCACTTCCAATCACATATTCGAAGACATACAGACATATAACATATATTCACACTTAACATGAAGTTTCTTTATTGTTTGCACTGCATAAATATCGCTTTAAACGGAAACGTCAAACATACACGAAAAGGAAGTAAAATAATGAAATACAAAATGGCGAATCAGAAATGCAACTACATGCCAGCGGAATTGTGTGCAAATGATCAAAACCAGAAAAGCTACAATAATTTAACTTATTGGTTGTAGTTGTTGTGTATTTTCACTTCTTATAGCACACGAAGTCTATAATTCGTTATCCGTTAGCATTTGGCTAAAAAGTCTCACTCTCAAGGCCATTCCTCTTTTAGGTTAGAAATGCACACACAACTGCCAGGGAGCCAGTTGATCTTTTATACACTTTTAATTGATTGCAAATAACACTATATACTCCATTTACTAATCAACAATACTACAAAGAGTTTTTAAGCACACCGAACAATTAAATTCTTTAAAATTAATACAATTTAAACACGACGCGCACTTGAAAAAATTATAGCGGTTTAAAATCAAGCCACTAACTGAAAATGTCAAAATAACTACGGAAGTGGAAAGTAAAAGTAAGGAACGATATTAAGCTGTCAACACAAGCAGCGCTGTAGCATATTGACGGACAAAAAATTATGCGTCGTGTTATTATTATTTTAGGAAATAGCGAAAACGCCATAATATTAATCAACAAAACTTTTTATATTTATAGTTAATTACGCCGTTTTGCTTGGTGTAAGGAGTTTATTACATAAAATAGGAAAAAAGTATTCAACAAATTTTGAAAATTTAGAATTGTAAAATACATTTTTGCGTTGGCAATGCTTTGTCTGACGTTTTGTAGTTGTCAATGAATTTTCAACGGTCTAAGTAGCAGAACAGCAGCAACGAACTAAAATCATCAAGTTTATTCGCGTTAAGTATATGAATAAGTTTATTAACGAATTAAAAACATAGCAACGTGCAATTGAAGTTAGTTTCGTACTGCGGATGAACATTAAAATTGTTTAATTCCTTGAAGAGCAAAAATCAATATCAGTGACGTTGGAAACGAAAATTTTATAATGGAAAGCAAAACAACACCCAAACCGCTTTGGTATTCGCTGCAATAGAAAAGTCCCACATACTGACGTAAACGTCGTATCTTATCGATGACGTTTTTATACAAACAAAACAAAGTGTAAAAATTACTAAAAATAGCAACAAAAGAAAAATACGCTGAAATATTTATAATTGTAGTTAGAGTGGGATATTAGTAACTGTAAGGAAGATGAACACTGATCCGGCAATGGCGTCTAAGTCAACGACGCTATCGTCGTTAAATAGTATACCAACTATATCAGCGGCTGTTTCCAGTTCAGGATTATTAGGAAGTGTACTCTCAGATAATGATATGCGAGATGGAGAAATATCTTTGAATACAATTGAAATAGTGCAACGAAAATTCAAAGACAACGAAAAAGTCTTATCGGTAAGCAAAATTATTATTTTATAGTTGCACACAAATTATTGGTGTTTTTCTTTAAGATTTTTGAAGCCTATCAAATCATCGGACAAGAGCATCGAAGTCGCTTGTTGGCGTTAGTAGTGTCAGTGGCAGGCGGCACCTATGCAGTTTTCTCCCTTGCAACAGCGCGCTTACCACCACGCAACGTCAATGACTTGTCCATTGATAAGATTTTCGCGTTAAATGAAACTTTTCAAATAGGCAGTGGTAAATATCTGTGATTTGTACATGTACATGTATGTGTTCAAATTAATATGAAACTAATGTGTGGTCACAAATTCAGATAAAAAGGGTTCCATATCGCAATTGCAATTCGATCTAAAAACAGCCGATGAGGCGGCCGTGAAATATTTCTACTACCCAATCATATCAGCCGAGGGCGCATCTGATTTCGAAACATTTCATGCGCAAATCATATCAGCTAAATTTTCAATGACACACTCAACCGCTGCAACGGAATCGATTTTGAGTTATAGTTGGCTGAACGATTACCGACAAATCGGCGAAGTGAAGCAGGAGTTGAAACGACGTGAACATGAATATATTGTTTTCAAGGATTTTATGTATGTTTTTTCGCATGCTTCTAAGGTTTAAACAATTTTAATTTAATATTGTTATTTATATTTTTTAGTGTGTATTGTGGCACTTGGAATGTAAATAACAAGCCATATAGTGACAGTCCATTGCACTTGTGGCTATCAAATGGTGAGCAACCAGCCGACATATATGCCATTGCGCTACAAGAGCTGGATACTTCAGCTAAAGCCATAACTTTCAGCGAAAATCGCCCTGACAACATGTGGATGTGAGTAATAGCTCTTATATATTATATGTATATAATTTTGATAATAATCATTAATTAATCTATCGTTCACAATGCAGAAGTAAAATGCTATCGAGTTTACACAAAGATGGCGAATATGAGGAGTTAACTAGCGTGCGTCTCGTTGGCATGATGTTAACAATCATCATACGTAAACAATTACGGCCATATATTGCGCGTTGCCGAGTCAAAACAGTAGCGCGCGGCGTTTTCAACACACTGGGCAACAAGGGTGGCGTTGCGGTGAGCATACAACTGAATGAAGGCAACCTCTGCTTTGTAAACTCACATTTAGCTGCTCATATGGCTTTCGTTGAGGCACGCAACGAGGATTATGCGGGTATCGTACGTGGCTTAGTGTTTGATGATGATCTAAAACGTACCATTAATGATCATGAGTGAGTAAAGGATACACTGAAAACAATGTAACTACTGAGATCTGCATTTTTACGGCTTTCTTTTTTTTCATAGCCACATCTTTTGGATTGGTGACTTAAATTATCGCATTGAAGAACCGCCAGGCTTACAATTACCATGTAATCGCGCTTCACCGAACGCTTACGATGTACTTATGAAGTATGATCAATTACGCATTGAAATGGGTAAAGGCAATTGCTTTGATGGTTACAGTGAAGGGCGTATCAAATTTCGACCCACATACAAGTATGATGTAGGCACAGATAATTTTGACAGCAGGTGCGTAATTTAATGCTAAATTCCATGATTTCATGTGCTTTACATTTTGTTCACGCTTTCAGTGAGAAACAACGCGCGCCAGCATATTGCGATCGCGTACTATGGAAAGGTGTGCGTATTGAGCAGTTGGCTTACAATAGTGTTATGGAGATACGACAGAGTGATCACAAGCCTGTCTATGCAATATTTCGTGTAAAAATCAAAACCAAAGATGAGAAGCGTTACAAACGCATACACGAGGAAGTCTTGAAGCTGGTTGATAAACGTGAAAATGAGAATCAACCACAAATAAGTGTCGATAAAACTGTGCTCGATTTCGGTGTCGTACATTTCAACGAGTTGTCCGTTTGTGATTTCACTGTCTCGAATAACTGTCCAATGCCGGTGGAGTTTATGTTCAAAGTTAAAGACCCACCATTGAATGATATATGCGAAAAGTGGTTGCAAGTCGAACCGCGTGCCGAAACACTAATGACCGATAGCACCAGACGTGTACGCGTCAAATTGCTGGCAGATGTGCGTTCCATAACGGGCTTGTTGAAAAAGATACGCACGACCAATTGGAAATTCGATTTCGACATATTGATATTGCATGTAAAAAATGGACCAGATATGTTTTTGACGGTCACCGGCGAGTACAAGCCAAGTTGTTTTGGTCTTTCGGTGGAAACGCTTTGTCGCACCAATCAACCGTTAAACACGTATACGCAAGCACAGATTAAAGATTTGGTAAGTAATGCAATGCCTAGCAAGCAATATAGCGTGTAAATTTCTTGTTTAACCGCATAAACTCGATTTTCAGATGAACGATGATTCACCGGAATTCCGTGTGACAATGCCACGCGAGTTTTTCTTCCTCATCGACTATCTGCACAAGCAGGGCAATAAAGTGGAAGGTGCTTTCGAAACATTGGAATATAAACATGCGCGCACCTTGCAATTCAACGTTATACGCGATTGGTTGGACACATGGTCGAGCGATGAATTTCGTAAGTAAACGCATGTTTCGCAATGCTCTCTTCTAAAAATCATTAAAGTAAACTTTTCTTTGTGCAAATCAGCCGGTACGCCACAAGCAGCTGCTGAGGCGCTACTCATGCTATTAGACTTGCCCGAAAAGCCCTTACTTGATCCTTTTGTCGAAGATTTATTGCAAACAAATACGGCCGCTGAAGCCATGGAGTTGATATCATTGCTGAGCTCACCTCGCCGCAATGTCTTCGTGCATTTATGCATGTTTCTACGCCAAGGCATAGAGCGGCAGTACTATAATTTACAGCACGTTGGTATGTACACAAAGCTAACCACGCACACTGAAAAAAAAAATTGTTTTAATTTGAAGATATTAAAAACTAAAAAAAATTTAAAAATGAATTTAAAACAAAATAAAAAATAAGTTAAAAAAAAATTAATTAAATCAAAATTTATTTGAAATAAAATTAAAATGAAGTAAAATAAAATTAAATATTACAAAAAAAAAAATTATAAGAAAATAACTAAAGAATTTTAAATTATAAAAAATACGAAAAATAATAATTATAAAAAAATTAAAAATAAAATAAAAAAATTACAAATAAAATAAAAAAATTTGTCAACAAAAAGAAGTAAACAAATCAAAATGTAAAAAAAACACAGATTATTTACCATTTGCATTTTTTGTTCTCACAGCTAGCGTTTTCGGGCGTGTATTGTTGCGCAGCACCGCACACGCAGGTCGCGATTTTTATCGTGAGACTCGATGTCGCGATTTCATGCATCGCTTCATATCCAGCGACATTGGCGGCACATTGTCGACAGGTATTGCCGATAGCAGCGGTATTAGCAGCGTGGACGGTGGCACTGGTGGCGGCAACAGTAATGGCGGCGGCAGTGGCGATGGCAGTAATACTGCTCGTATTAATGCAATTAATTAGATTTAATGTCTATGTACTTGGATTTGCTATTGCTATTTTTTTGTTGTCAGCAATTATTTGTACAATGTATTAATTTAATTTTGCTTATCCATAGTTATTTAATGCTTAAGTTTATGTTTTCTGTTTGAATGCATTAGATAGCGGTTTATTTGCATGCCAAATTGTTGCAAGTTGTGGCATTCGCTTGCTATTCACACATCTGTGCACGATAGCATTTGTCATGAATTTATTTCTTTAAAACGATTATCGCGTATTAATGACGTTAACAACAACATTCGCGTGTCTGAGGTTGATGAGAATGATTACTTAATGCTCTACTATTAATTTAAACGCTTAATGAAATATATATATTAAAAATATATATAAAAATAACGAAAATAAAATTTATAAAATATTTGCAGCGAAGCATTTAGAAATGTACTGCGCTTGTACTTCTCTGAAGAACACAAACACTCAATGTCTAATATATACAACAAAATCTCACGACGCTTAAGGTCTACGACAGCATTAGTGTTCTATATACTGTAGGAGGTAGCGATTTGTTTTTTTTTTTTGTTTTGGCATTTAGCTAAACCGCAAAAGCAATAACTGCGTGAAATCGGATAATTTAATTGCCTTATTTGCACGTCTACAATATTTGCGGTCTAAACTTATATTCCACGTCATTGCTGCATTTAAGCAGAGTTTCTGCCTAAATGTTATGCGGGTTAAGTAAACAAACATACACACATACGTATATATGAATTTTTGTGAAAAATAATAAAAGTTAATAATGAACGCCGTACGTTTGAAAAATACAATTTTTAGAGCTTATATACATTAGTCATAAGTTGATGATAGCTAATTGTCGGTTTGTTAATATATTTGTCTTAGTGTTGAATAATAATTGAAATTATTACAAAGTGCAAAATATCGAAATAAAAATGTATGTATGTATGTATATTAACAGAATAATTTTCGATTTTTATTTACATTTTTTTTAAAGCGATAAAAATAAATAAAATCAAATTTGTCGTAAAAAAATTAATAAAAAAAAAACATAAATAAATTAATTTATGCAGTTTCTTTTATAATTTGTTGAGAGCAAAAAAAAAATACGACACTTGGAGAGAAATGAGTAAACGTGCGTGTAGATAATATATTGAACAGAAATATTTAGAAGACGAAACCATAATATCCTTCACAAACAAATAAGTTTCCATAAAAAAAAATTTGTTTTGATCGGTCAGTTTGTATGACAGCTATAGTATATATCATTGAATGATTGATAAACGAGGAATGCACGACCTTAGATCTCTCCGAAATCACAAAGATTCACCTAGCCCCAGTGTATTGTCCAAATATAAATAAAATAATATATTATAAAGTCCAATAGCCTGATGGCTGCTAGCGAAGCAATGTGATCCCTACTTAACTCAGATCGTTCAGTTTGTACGCAGCTATATGCTATAGTGATTCGATGTGCACAATTCCTTCGGAGATTGCAACATTGTCTTAGGCAATAATTCATGTCAAATTAATTATGTATTTCTTCCATAAAAAAAAACTTGATTCCGATCGTTCAGTTTGAATGGCGAACACTGTATGCTATAGTCGTTCGTTTACACTGGTTTCAACAAATAAGCAAGTTCTTGGGGAGAAAAGGGAATATTGCACATTATTTCAAATCGATCTCAAAAATTGAGTGGTTTTAGCTCGCTGCAAAAAGCAAGCCTTCAATTTGTTAGAACATTTTCGGATTTTACATGGACATACCTACATAACATATGAGAAATATTATAGTTGTTGTTGTTGTATCGGCAGAATTCTACTAAGTTGACAGTCCTTGACCGGATAAAAATGCCGGTCCGTTCCGTTTACTTAGACTCGAATGTCGTGGGAACGGAATAATATTATAGTACAATATAGTGTTGAACATTTTTCTTTTTTTTTTTGTAAATCTCGTAATATATATCATCGGGTTTATTTTTCCAAAACAAACAAATTCCACGTGTATTTTCTAAATTTTATTTATCCTTTGAAATACGATACATACATACGTTATTGTGTATGTGCAACTAAATGTGCTTTTGTTGCAAATTACTTCAGTTATTTATTCATTTTGCAACTTGCATACATACATACGTACTTATTTATCACTTACATATGTATAAATTATAAGTTTTTTGTTTTTATTTGTATTTCCGTATTAACTGTCACCTCCTGTTGATTAGTTTAATCAAAAGTTGAGTTGATACCTAAACAGATATGCATATGATCTGTTTATTTGTATGTATATGACGAAATATTAATTTATTTTATGCCAATGTTGAGTGCTTTTGCTTCATAAAATAATTAGTTTAGGCATGTTTAATTGATTTTGCTCTTCGAGTATGTTTGTAGTTAAATTATTATACTACTTATATTTTCATATTATTTTTATTGACTCCAAACTTTTGTTGCAATAAACAAGAGTTAATGTTTTTTATAAAATACTTGCTTTATAAAACTAGTATGTATGTATATGTTCAGCTTAGTTTATGTTTAATTTGGTTTGATTTTTTTTTATTATATTTATTATTTATATCTGCTGGTATATTATAAAAAATGTTTTTTTATTTGCTAGCTGATATCACTGACTTTTCAGCTATTCTCAATGTCTTTGCATGGTACGCCAATTAAACCGTTTTTTTTTTTTTTTTTTGTTTTTGCTTAAATATTTTCATGTTTTATTGTTTGATTGATGATTGAAAGCTTCTGAATTGAAGTGAATAATTTGTTTACAAATCTAAAATTGTGTGCGAGGAATATTAACTCTTTTAGTATTGTAATGTAATGTATGCAATTGTTTTAAGTCAATTATATATTATATAAAAAGAAAAATTCGACAATCAAAAATAGTACGAGGCCTGCTAAACGAAGATRTATTTAACTTTTTTTTACAGAATAATTATAAATAATATTAATCTAATTAAAAATAGTCATATATATGTATAGGTATATTATTTATATATAAAAGTAACTCTCAAGCAACCACTCACCGTTATCTCGTTTTACGCTCTCACCGCTCCACAGTGAATAATGGTTAACACTTGTTGCTATTGCTTTTGTAATAGAAAATTGATGGTTGTTATTGTTTTTGCAATAGCAGAATACATGGTTTTACAAAAACATGCCGTAGTAGCGTGGCCGGATCTAGTTTTAGGCAACACTGCTGGGGAGATAGATAGCACTCGTCCGGATACCAATCTAGTTCAGTTCCGTTTATGTAAATAGTACATAAATAATCAAAGTAAATGCTTTTCTGTTTTTTACATTACAATATTTGATATATTTCTGTTTTGTAACTTAAATAATACAAAAACAACTGAATATATGTATGCATGTGTGTACGTTGTATTGTGGTATGTAGATATTGGAAAGTGTGGGTACAAAAAAAGTCACTTTTAACACCGTTTAACTTGTTGAGAGTACATACGTATGTATTCGCGTACATACATATATATATATGTACATATAAATATACTATTATAATTTTTTTTTTGTAATTACAATTAAAATGTGTCTCATATTGTATAGAATTAAAAAATAAAACAATAAAGAAATAATAAATGATAAACTAAATTGCATGTGCTTCTTATTTTATTTACTTGTTTAATTAAAAGCCTAGTTTTATTTTATTTTTTTTTCAATGCATATGCCAAATGATTGCATACTTGCATTTAAGATCGAATCTAAATTATTACACATAAATTGGGAAAATTCTGAATTAGCCCGCTACATTGATAAATTTGTGTTTCATTTACCTCATATTTGAGAGTAACAAAGCGGTTTCCCTCTTCTCTTGCTCTGACGACTTATAAATTATTATTATTATTTATATTATAGTGTATTTTCTTACATTTCTTACAAGATAAAATTGTAATGAATTATGCTAAAAATTGATTTAACTCAAATAATTTTTGTTTATCATGTATATTTTATAGTATATACATATATAGCATATGTATGTTATGTATGTGCAGTGATGTGCCCTTCCTTGAGGAAAAATCAAAAAAGAAAGCACACTAGTTTCTATGTATACATGCTTTAAAAACAAAATTTCTACTAAAACTTAATTAGTGTGCACTATTCCAGTAAAAATTGCCTTGCCGCTGTATGCTCTGCGCTGCCCCTCCATTCAAATATGCAGATTTTCATTTAAATTTACGTTTTTTGTGTGATTTTAATTTTTTCGCGATTTATAAATAAAAACAAAATTATAACTCTCAAAAATTTCTAACGTTTGTACGCTAATACGTTCTACTAAATGTTTTTTGTTTGTGTGGATGTAGATGTATATATATGTGMGTGTGTGTGTGTTCATGATAATAATTAAGGAGAACAGTCTGTTGCCATTCGCACATGAAATGGCAAACTATTCCTATTAACTTACATAACTAGGCATACATATTTAATTATGTATTCAAATGTATTGCAAGTAATGTTGTGTCCATCATTGTTAATAATGAAATACGTTGATTGTTACATACTAAACGTTATATACTATGGATAATATGCATATATGTATGTAGTTAATTCATACATATATTATGAAATAGTTTGAGGCATATTTTAATGTCTCCCAACTCAATCTTCCGTCTGCTGTTTAAATAAGCATTAATGACGTTGCCGATTTTGATATTTCTTTTTTCCTCTTAAATTCATCATGCATTCATCTACAGCTTTACGTGGTGGGTGGTGGTAGTAGTAGTGTTGCAGCATTCGGGGAGGGTAGAATGCTACATTAAATCTTCAACATTTATCTACGATTAAACATCATACTTGCGCCGAATTCGTTACCGTGCGCCACTGCCGCTGACATACAATACATTAGTATGTATTTAGAAGCGATAATTTTCATCAGCCATATGTATAGCCCACATGAATTTGTTTCTTTGAGTTTTATTGAAGATTTTTTCAATTGGCACTCCATGCTTCTTGCACCTGTAAACAAATTTACATATATTTAATTGTACGTAATTATACAATATGTAGAATTTTTTTGTATAAAGTATCGTAACGTTACGTTACATTCTACCCACCATGCGACAGTGATACGTGGATCTAAATAGTTCAACTTAGATGTGCCCAATGCAATTGTTTTGTTCTCATCCCTATCAGTCTCTTGTAATTCTAATTTCTTTAGTTGCTCTTTTAATCTTTCCAACGTCTTTGCCTTCTTGTCAGCCATAACGCGTTCTTTTACCGATCCCCGCTTGGCAGCTTTTTTAAGATCCTACAATTAAAGAAAATCATAATTTGTTTAAACAATATACATATATGCAGCCAATAATTAGTTATATATATATACATGATAGTCCGATTCGGTTTCCTCAATCATCTCGCGTTTCTGACGTATCTTCTCCTTCAAGTTCTCCATTGATTTTTCATGTCCTTTTGGTACTGAACGTTGATGGTTACATAATATGGCTACTGCACGATTGGCGCGGTTATAGGCAAGTAACTTCTCCGCAGGTGACATACTTTCTTCGGTGAGTAAATCCAACTGGTTTTGTAATGTAATTGAGGCGTTGTAGGTACGGAACACTTTGGCAGTGAGTCCTTTAAAAAATAAAAATATTTACTTAAAAATATGTTTATATGTATATGTGTGTACTTATGTAAACTCACCTTCCATAAGCTCCTTTAAATGTTCGTTGAGCACTTGCGTGTTAAGCCTATCAAACAGATCGTCCCCTTCCTTTTTATTCTCCAAAAATAGTTCTAGATTTTTAAATACTCGCTTTTCAACCTCAACTTCGTTGTAGTAGCGAATTGAATCTTTACCCAAGAAATCAAATACAACAACATTCTCTTTACCGTTTAATTGTTTTTCTAATTTAACGTGTTCAACGCGAAGCGAACAACAACCTACGGTA